GCTGGAGCCCAGCAGGTCGAGGCTGCGGTGGCCGGGAGCGGCCACTGCTCCAGTCTGGGCAACCGAGTGAGACTCCGACTCAAAAAACAAAAAAGAAAAAGAAAAAATAATGTTAATATTTAAATTACTGACAAAATAAGATATTGTCATTTTGGGCGGGGAGAGGGAAATTGGTCAAACTTAAATTTGGGTAATATGGCTATTTCAGTGTGATAAATCCCAGGAAGATCTTTTCTAGACATTGCCATAGAAACTCTTGCCAGATTTTTTTTTTTTTTTTTTTTGAGTCGGAGTCTCACTCTGACGCCCAGACTGGAGTGTAGTGGCCGCTCCCGGCCACCGCAGCCTCGACCTGCTGGGCTCCAGCAATCCTTCCGCCTCAGCCTCAGCCTTCCGAGTAGCCGGAATTACAGGCATGCGCTACCACACCCGGCTGATTTTTTGTTTATTGTAGAGATGCGGTCTCGCTGCCCAGGCGGGTCTCGAACCCGCGGGCTCAGGCAATCCCCTCACCTCAGCCTCCCACAGGCGCGGGATTACAGGCTGAACCTTGTCAGGATTTTAAATGAAATGCCAATGATGATGGTGCCATGGCTCACGATTCAATGAGAAGGCCCATTGGCCACGACTGGGCCTAGGTGCATTTCCCAAGCCTAGGTTGAGCACAGAATGGATCCATAGCCTCAACTGGTGCTAGGGGGCGCTATGGTGCAGCTCTCAGAGAGTCAGGTGTCCTCACCCCTGGGAGAAACCACTGTGTGTGCCTTGTGGAGAACTTGGAAGTCGTGGAATCTGATCTCCATAAGATTTTATTCTAGCAGGGTATGGACCTACCAATAATTTGTATTTGTCACCATGGTGACTTTCTCAAATATGAAATCCACTGTCCCTAGTTCCAAAAAGTGAGTTCTAAAAGACCACTAAATTGTTATGCCCATCACAGTATCACTTAAAAGCCCCAGTTCTCCAGCGCCTGGTCTGTTATCTGCAGATTTATCTACTTTGCAATTTCGATAGATATGGACAGATGTCTAAAGCAGTTTCTTCTGTAGCCCGAGTGCAGTTTTATGCAAATATCAGTGTTCTATCAGCTGAATTCTGGTTAAATAAAACCACATAAAATAAAACATGAGAAAAATAAATTACCTATAACCCATTTCTTTGGGTATCAAACTTCAGCCTTTCCTTGATTTTCTCTAAATGTGAGACTGTCTGGGAAAAACAAGGTTTTCACTTTTGGGATAACAGTTTATCCATTAGTGGAAACTATATGCCTTATCTAATTTGTGTTTTCTTCATGATCATATAGCCTATTTTCTTTTTTTCCTTTTTTTTTTTTTTGAGTTGGAGTCTCACTCTGTCACCCAAACTTGAGTGCAGCAGCCGTTCCCAGCCACCGCAGCCTTGACCTGCTGGGCTCCGACGATCCTTCTGCCTCAGCCTTTCAAGTAACTGGAACTACAGGCGCGTGCTACCACACCCGGCTAATTTTTTGATTTATTGTAGAGATGAGGTCTCACCAAGTTGCCCCGGCGGGTCTTGAACCTGCGGGCTCAGGCAATCCACTCACCTCAGCCTCCCAAAGCGCGGGATTACAGGCTGAGCCACCGAGCCCGGCTTATATAGCCTATTTTCAAATTTAGCTATTGTTATGCACTCAATTTGTATTTTATTTATTTTTAAGTCATGTCTATTTTAATATTTATTTATTTATTATTATTCTTTTTTTGAGTCAGAGTCTCACTGTCGCCCAGGCTGGAGTACAAGGGGCACGATCATGGCCACTGCAGCCTCAGCCTGCTGCGCTCAGGTGATCCTACCACCTCAGCCTTCCAAGTAGCTGGAACTTCAGGTACATGCCAGCACGCCTGGCTAATTTTTGATTTATTGTAGAGACAAGATCTTGCCAAGTTGCCTGGGTTGTATTTTAATACTTAAAATATTGCATTCCAAATTTCATCAGCCAACATTTTTCAAATCTTACGAGTATTTCAAAAGAAATAGAAAATGGATTCTCTTCTTTCAAAAATCATCATGCTATTTAGGAATGCAAAGCACACCTAGGTGGAAAAGTAAAAGACACTGTTCTGAAGTAATAAATTGGCAGGTGCTTAAGAATAGTTTGTAAAATGAACAAAGGGAAACTAACTAGAAAAATGAAGAGAGCTAGGCAAAACACTCTAAAAGACTTCCTGAAGGCAGTGAAATTTAATTTGGGTTTTGATAAAACAAACTTAGGTTAAATAAAAGTTGTGAGGGGAAATACTAAACAAAGGGGATAGCCGACTTCTGTGCAGGGAAAGGAAAATAGACTTTGTTTCAGATAGTTGTAGAGCCAACAACCCATAACTCCTCTTTTTTTTTCTTCCAATTTGTTGAAAGTTCCATCTACATTTTCTTTATACAAACTAGCCCCCAAATGTTCTAATATTGACTTTTTTAAAATTTGTTTTTCCCCTAAATTTTACTTGCTAAATAATTTTTAAATCTAATTCATTTATGTAACTTTTGGCTTTGTTTTCCTATATGACACTAAATAACTGTGGACCAGGTAAAATCTGTACACTAACCAAATGACTCCCTACTTACCATCTGTTGTTTTTTCCCCCCCTCCTAAGTGGAACAAACTTCCTTCTGAAAAAGTTTACTTCAGTCAGTCACAAACTGTTGTTTACAGATATTTTAGAGATAAAATTCCATAAACTCAAGTTAGTGCAGACATTTTGTAAGTGCTGTCAAGTCAATGGGGAAAAAGGAAACCAACATCTCACTCTTTGCTTGTTATGGGCGGTGAGAAATGGCTGAATTAAAGCAGAGAAATATTTCAGTGATGCAGAGCAAAGGTGATTTCCTGTTTGGTTTTAGGTTTTGTTTCCTTCTCCTCTCAATGAAGGCTGTGTTTTCTGATATTCTGCAAACCTTTTGCTCAGTGATTCCCCATTGACAGGGCGCCGTGCTCAGGCCTCTGCAGGTCATTCCACTGCAATACACGCTGAAAAGGGAGAGGGGGAAGAGCGACCTCATTAGTGGATGGGGCAGACCAGGAGGGGATCTGGTTTCTATTTTCTCCTCCAGATTGAAGTTATCTGGATGGAAAGGGTTTTATCGTTATCGTCATCACTTCCTACCTGTGTGGTGTCGTTTTCCTACACGCTTCTTTCACATGTTAGGCAAAATTGCTGGGAAGAGGAGTTAGATAATACATGCCGTTTCATTTCAGCGAGCAAAATCCGAGTCCAAGTGCGTTATGCATCAAAGCTGTCAGTTTCCACTTTTAAGCTTAAATAGCAAAACTCAAAAGTTCTAATTCCACAGGGCAAAGAGAAAATATTAGAAGAAGAAGAAGAAAAAAAAACCCAAACAAAAACTTGTTCCTTGCTTCTGGTGGCCTATCGGTAATCATGCACAGTATTTCTTCTCTTTTGTAATGAAAGGCAATGCTTCCCCCCACCCCCTCCACCCCTCGGTTATTGAAAATGCAGACTTGTGCAGTCACTAGCTCTGGATTGATAAGGTTCCTCCACTGGGTCTGTGTTTTCTGCTACTTGGACATTTAAATTGACATTGCTTAAGCCTCCCCCCC